CAGAGCCAGGGCTCGGCTTCCTCTCTTGTCCCCTGCAGCTTCCAGGCCCTGGTCCCCCTCCTTCCCTGCCAGCAGCTCCTTCCCAGCCTACATCAAGAGCGCCTCTTCCTCTGAATAGCTGCCTTTCCAGTTTATGAAAGGAGGCAAGGGCTGCGAGCTGGCCTCCGGCCCACACAAGCACTGTTGTGCTGAGGGAAAGCTGTTGAATTCTGTGGAGCTGAAATGCCGCATAAACAGACACATTTACAACTTCCTGTCCATTTAGCTATCCATCATCCTAACAAAGGTAGTACTAATAATAACTTGCACATGGGACAATTCACAGCTCCCTAAGTACTTTCACGTGCCTCTCAATATCCATATCTACGTGCAATGAAAACATTTGTAAGTCTGCACAGTATTAAAAGGGCGCCGTGTTACGTTCGACTCGCTCTGCCATGGCGTTGGGGACAGCCTTCTATATGGGCTTCATTTTGATGTGCAGGCATTGCTTAGGCCCTCTGTGTGTTCTTAGGCCCTCTGTGACCATGTGCCCATCCTCCATTCAGTGATTGACAGGAAATTGATCTCTGGGACAGGGCCAAATGACCCTCACCATTTTCTTCCTTTTTTTATTTAATTTCTTTATTAAGGTATTACATATGTGTTCTCCCATTACCTCCCAACCCCCCCATTCATGCCCTCGCCCCCCTGTTGTCTGTGTCCATTGGTTAGGCTTATATGCATGCATACAAGTACTTTAATTGATCTAAGGGAGGTTTTCTAACTGAGGATGTCTTCTTAGTCTGGAGAAACCGAGTTCTGGAGTAAAGCAGCAGGTTCCCTGTTTGGTAGATTCCTCCCTTCATTCACAGGCTGCCTGTCAAACTGGAATCTGATCTGCCTCATTAACAAACCCTGTCCACAATAGGCTTTCATTCATTTACTAAGTGGTATATGCCTCTTAATCTTACACTGCACCACAGAGCCACCCTGCCAACCCTCATCATTTTAATGTCATGTGTTCGTAGGGTGTTAGGAGAGGCCAAGGACGCACCAGGAGATGCAGGGAACCTCCGTGCAAGCCGGTTGAGGGGAAGGCCGGGGAGGCCCAGCTGTAGGACTGAGGCGTTGGGATTAGGACACAAGGCGACCAGACCTAGCTAGTTGTTGACACACTCTGTGGGCTGTGCCTTCTAAGGGAGACTCAGGAGCTTTAAGCCAAGATGGCGAGTGCTTGCATCTTGGTGCTTTGCCCAGGAGTGGGTGGGACCTACTGGAGTGCGATGTTGAGGAGGACGCTGAGGCCCAGCCCGGCTCCCGGAAAAGAGTCCTTACCCGGCAGGCCTGCCTGCGTGGTGCGTAGGAGGACACGGTGGCGTCTGTGAAAGACAAGCTGAGCCCGAGCTATCATGGAGTCAGGACGCACATTCAGGTGGCCTCGGCCTTTTCGCCCAGCACAGAGCCTGGGGTTTCTCTCCTAGCTCTGGCTTGCTGGAACTTTGCTTTGGAAACGTCAAATATTGGAGTCCCAAGGCCACACGGCTGAGGACTTTCTGATGTCCCTCAGGGACGCCCACTGGCTTGCGCATCCCGTTGGCTTGGGCTGTGGCCGCGGGCTCCGTCCACTCTCCAGGGTCCCTGCACGCTGTTCCTTCTTGCCCAGTCTTCGCTGTGCTCAGGTGTCTCAGGGGCCTTCAGGAAGAGCTCACATCTCTGTGGCGAGTCCTGTCCCTCTCCCCGCGACTCCGAGTATCGTCAGCTCCCACTCTGTCCCATCCGTGACTCCTGACTCTACTTCAACCCGAACTAGAAGGTTACTCCCGACTCTGTCGGGGCCCGCTCACCTGCACCGGCTGTGGACTGGGTTTGGGGGCTCTCGGCACCTGCCGTACCCGAAGCAGCTGGGTGTCCCTGCCGCTCAGCTGCCTGGTGGACAGCACAGAGCAGCGGGCCTCCGCCCGGTTTGCCACCGGTTTCAGCCGGAGGCTCGGTCTCCACGGGGAACAGCTTCTCCCATCAGCTCACACACGCTTCAACCGGAACCCACTCTTCCAGAGATCACACACTGCTTCCTCTCCGCATCTCCCACACGTGGGAATACTGTGTCAGGTTATGGCTGGGCCGTCTCCTATGGCTGCCAGAAACAGTTCGCGCAGAAAGAAAAACAGCTCTCACTGTCTCAGGCAGAGAGCAGCCCCCTGGCCTGGCCCGTCTTGGCTGCTCGGAGGTTCCGCACCCCTGTGCCTTCCCCTCCCTGTGCTTCTGCTCTGCGGGATGGTGTGATGCACGGGCGTCGGAGAGTGCCCGAGCTAGATGGCAGACCTACCCCCGGTGTGCACTGGCGCCGTAGCTCACTTTGAAATGTTTCTTAAAGCATGGGTTGAAGGATGACGGATCGAGGGCAAGACAGAGTGAGCGGCAGGAGCAGGTAACATGCTGACAGTGGAAGGTGGGCGGTGAGTAGCCGGGTGTTCACTGTACAGTTCTTTCCCTTGGCTGCTGGTGTGGAAATTTTCGTCATAGAATGTTGGTGGTGGGGGGAGGGGAATTACCCCTGACAGTGAGCCATGCTAATTTAAAACAGGCTCTTGACCAGTGTGGTCCCCGAGGCCAGAGAGTGAGGGAATGCTGCGATTGGAGCTTGGAGCTGTTTCATTTGGGAAGGCTTTCTGTGGGGAGGGGTTTCCTGCCGACCATGGCTTACACCGGTGCTGTTTGTAGACCGGGGGAAAGAGGGGCCGAGTCCCCTCCCCAGGATGAGCTGTGCACCCACTCTCCCCCTCCCTCACAGCCCAGCAGGGGGCTGCTCTCTCCTGGAGCTCACGCTGCACACACCGCACACCGGCTTCTTGGGGGTTAAACTGCACTGCACAGCCTCCCGGCCCTGCCTGGCTTTCCCACCCTATGCCTCAGCATTGCAGTGAGGTGGGGGGTGCTCTGGCCCCACACAGGCTTTCTGTGGCTCTGAGCCCCTGGCTGAGCGAGCGGAGAGGCTGTTGGCCTGGGAGGGCCGGAGGCCTGGCTGCTGCAGATGGCCTCCCACCACCTGCAGCGCCTGGCACTGCAGAGCTGACAGAGGGGCAGGGGCGGGATGAGGTGGTGGGGCAGAGCCTCCCTGCGGTGTGGTCCTGACCTGGATTGTGGGTCATACTCCCTGGGGGTCTCACAGAAGGTGCTGTGAGACTGACACGGGTGTGGGAGGGAAATGCAGTCCCCCCCGCCCCCAGTCTGATGCCCATCCAGCCTCTCCAGCCTCCTGCCCGTGCTCAGGGAATACATTCTTCACCACACAATACCACTTGAGTAGAATGGCATCAGGAAGGAAACATGCTGCGACAACAGTGTTAGGGAGAGTTTTAAAATCTAGGTCCCATTTAGAGCGCTGCTTTCGGCGCCTGCTGGTGTAGAGCAGTGGTCGGCAAGCTGCGGCTCACGAGCCACATGCGGCTCTTTGGCCCCTTGAGTGTGGCTCTTCCACAAAATACCATGGCCTGGGCGAGTCTATTTTGAAGAAGTTTAAGTTTAAAAAATTTGGCTCTCAAAAGAAATTCCAGTCGTTGTACTGTTGATATTTGGCTCTGTTGACTCATGATTTTGCCAACCACTGGTGTAGAGAATTGAGAATCCATTGTCAGTCTTCGGGCCGCTGGCAGGTGGCACTCTCCATGCTTTTCCTGCTGTCACATGTGCATACACCCCTGCTTATACATGCCTGGTGCATACACTTACTCTGTCACACATACCCTCACACACATGCCTAGTGTGCATGCTTACTCTCACACACGTGCCTGGTGCACACACACTGACACAAATTGGATCCTTTGAGCTGGGCATTTCCCTGCTCGTGCCACGTGCAGAACCTTGAGGGGTGCCCGCCCCTCTCCTGCAGGCTCTGGAAGGGCACCCTCCGCTGGCTCTCCTCCTGGTTCGGGCCTGCTCTGTCCCCTTTCTCCCGAGAGACAGTAGGTCCTGGAGTGAGACCTTGGACCTGGTTCCAGGCTCCCTGGTTGGAGTCCTGGCTTGAGGGCCGCCAGCTGTTGCCCTACACCGAGCCACTCTGTCTTTCTGTGTCTCGGTGTCATCACTTGGGAAAAGAGGAGTGTGGCGATCCCTTGCCCCCGTGTGTGTGTGTGTGTGTGTGTGTGTGTGTGTGTAAATTCAGTTGGGTTTATGGCGTGAAGCCCGATGCGTATGTAGTGAGCATTGCTCAGTGTTAGCCACCACCGCCCTTGGACTGCCCCTCAGTCCCCTGCTCTGGGCTGCGGGTGCACAGCCAGACCTAGAACTCAGCGTCTCACCAGACCAGGGATGGCAGCTGTGTTAGGTTCCTACTGCGCGGTGCCAAATCCCCACACATTTAGTGACTTAAAACAACACAAAGGTATCCTCTCGGTTCTGGAGGACAGAGTCCGCAGTCATTCTCCCTGCGCTGAAGTCAGGGTATCCACACTCCCCCCCCACCCCCCCAGAAGCTCTGGAGGAGGGTCTCGGGGAGCCTCTGTTTTCCCGCCCTTTCCGCCTTCCTGGGCTGGCTGCGTTCCTTGCATTCTTTGGCCACTGCCGCCGCCGCCTCCTCCACAGGAACAGCACACGTCTCGGTTCTGTTGGCTCGTTCCCCTTAGCCTTCCCCTTACATGGACCCTCGTGGTGGCCCTTGGGGCCCACTGGTACCCCAGGAGAACCCCCACCTCAAAATCCATCCTCAGTTGCTCCGAGGTCTCTTCTGCCACATGAGGTCCTGTTCTCAGGATGTGGTGTATTTGGGGTGTGAGTCACACAACCACTGAGGCTGGAGCTCTCTGGGTCCTGTCCAATGCCGTGACGTGGCCAAGCTCTGGACCAGCTGGGAGCCCAGGCTCAGCGCCAGCCGCCACACAGCGGCCCTGCCCTTGCTGCCCACCCGGACAGGCTCCGAGGGCACAGGGTCGCGTTCTGTTGGCCCCCAGAGCCCGCCTGGCTCCGGGTGGCGCTGGGGGCTGGTGCAGGCAGGTGCTGACTCGCTGTGCGTGCCCTTTTAGGACACGGCGAATGTCACTGCGGAGAATGCAAGTGCCACGCAGGTTACGTCGGGGACAACTGCAACTGCTCGACAGACATCAGTACGTGCCGGGGCAAGGAGGGCCGGATCTGCAGCGACCGCGGGCACTGCGTCTGTGGGCAGTGCCAGTGCACGGAGCCCGGAGCCTTTGGGGAGACATGTGAGAAGTGCCCAACCTGCCCAGATGCTTGCAGCACCAAGAGGTAATAGCCCTCCCCACAGCCCCACTTCCTCCCCCTCCCCTTACCCCAGACCAGGCCTGAGCCCTAGCTGGCCAGCCTCCCTGCCCCAGCTCCACTCTCCCAGCCTTGCTGGGGAGCGAAACTCTTACTAACAAGACCTAAAATAGCATCTTTGAGATTCTGGTTCCCTGGGGATTTTGTAGGAAAATAACAAAACAGGAAAAAACCAAGACTGCCAGAATAACATCTCCGAGTGTGCTCCGAGCATTCCAGAAGGGGGTTCAGTGAGCATCTTGTCTTGAGTGACACACACACACACACACACACACACCCCAGTTTAACCTCTCCCAAGCACCTGCGGGGCACAGCCGCTTGAAACAAACACAATCGGAGGCAAAGGCACAATCGGAGCGAAGGGGGTAGGAGGGCGTCCGTCCTGGAGAAGGCATGCCAACACGGACTTGCTGCAGCGGCTGCGTTTTTTATTTTAATATGTTTTATTGGCTTTTCACAGAGAGGAAGAGAGAGGGTTAGAGAGTTAGAAACATCGATGAGAGAGAATCATCCATCAGCTGCCTCCTGCACACTCCCTAACTGGGGATGTGCCCGCAACCAAGGTACATGCCCTTGACCGGAATCGAACCTGGGACCTTTCAGTCTGCAGGCCGACCCTCTATCCCGAGCCAAACCGGTTTTGGCTGCATTTGCTGCTCCGTTTGTGCTGATAACGGCGCGCTGGCTCCGTGCATGCGGCTGATGAATGCGCGGATTGTGTCTCCCGGGCCTTGCCTGGCGGGGCCGTGGGTCACATTCCCGGGCTGACCTCCCACGCTCTGCCCTGCACGCTGCCAGCGAGAGGGCATTGGAGAAACGGACGAGTTCCGCCACCAGGAAAGCCGGCATGGCGGCCTCTAATTTTCCCAGAGAAAGAGCTGTGTCATCCTCCGTGCTGAGGGGCCCGCAGAGTGCGGAGCAGAGGCGCCGTCAGAGACAAATAACAACGCAGACGGCATTTCTGGGGAACGCAAGGGTGCAATGTTCTTCTGGCAGATTTTCCCCCCCGAACGTCTGGCTCGGGCTGATAATGAAATGAGTTCACACTCCTTGAGCTGGGCCCGGCTGCCGGCAGGCTGTGCGCAGCGGCATTCTGGGTGGCAGGACCCCCAGCTGGACAGTTGCCACAAACAGCCCAGGCGTGGGTAATGGGGAGTTGGCTGCAGAGCCAGAGACGAGACGGACAGGGCCAGCTTGTATTTCTGTGTCATGGGTGGGGAGCTGGAGGGAGGGAGGAAGGAGGAAAACAGGCCCAGGTCAGACCTGCTAAGAGTGGAAACACTATAGACCACATGTGTCAAACACAAGGCCCGCGGGCCAAATCCATCCCGCCAGGCCTTGCAATGTGGCCCGCACCGCGCTGTCATCACAGCACTCCGCTGCGTTTCCATCACAATGACAGTTTATGACTGTTCAGTAAACCATTCGGCCAGCGATTTAGGCTGGATTTTAGATTTTGGCCCCTTCTCTGATTGAGTTTGACACCCCTACTATAGACATTCAAGGGGGCGCCCCAGGCCGAGGGCGGGATCCTGGAGCCGGAGCCCGGAGCCCGGAAAGCAGCGGCCCTTGGGGCGTGGCCTCACGGCTGTGATGCACATTTTGTGTTGCAGGGAGGTGCCCTGGCCCATCCCACCAGCGGGACCCTGGGAGTGTATGTTCCCAGTCCTTGGGGCACAGGTGGGCGGTGGGGCCACGCTACGACAGCATGCGCTAGAATCTCTGAGATGCATGTGGAATCCATAGACGTAGACCAAGCCCATTTATTCCCTTCATCGGGAGCAGCAAGGCGCTGTATGACGGCGCGGGTCCATTAAAGAGCCCCGATGGGAAACAAGCCCTCGCTGGAAATGCTCAAAGCGTTCGTGTCCTAAAAGACACAGTCTTGACTATTGACTACCGGTTATGCAATACCGAAGGCACCAGCAGAGCGAAGGGTTGCTGTCAGGGAGCCTTTTTACTCGTCTCTGGGCCACATGGGCCTTCTCTCTCTTTCACGGCACAGTTGCAATTTAAAAAAAGAAGAAAAAAAAGACAAGTCCCCTTGAGAGGGACTTACTGGTATGTCAGGCTGCTTTTCTACTTGCTGCTCTGCTGGGAGACTCTCATGAAAGCCAGTGTCCTTCCCCCGGGGTTTCAGAGCAGCCGAACTCTGCTTTCTAGAACTAAGCACACACCCATCCCCGTGGGCGAGTTCACACTCAGCCTCAGCTGATCTCCAGGAGCAGATTCTGTCCAGTTATTTTAATATGTGACTACCACACGTCCCAAGTCTCAACCCAGTACATGAGCCACATACATTAGACCAGTGGTCGGCAAGCACATGAGTCAACAGAGCCACATATCAGCAGGACGACGATTGAACTTCCTTTTGGGAGCCAATTTTTCAAACTTAAACTTCTTCTAACGCCACTTCTTCAACATAGACTCGCCCAGGCCGTGGTATTTTGTGGAAGAGCCACACTCAAGGGGCCAAACAGCCGCATGTGGCTCACGAGCCGCAGTTTGCTGACCCCCGAGACTGACATGACTCCGTGGAGAATGAGGAAATGTGTCCTAGAAGCGGCCCTGTGGCTTAGTGACCGCAGGGGATGCGGGTGGAGGGGCGATGAGTCCCAGCCCAGGCGGAGGCCCAGGCCGGAAGCAGCTCCCTTCTTTTTCTGGTGTGAACCCCGAGGCTGGAGTGGGCCAGCATGAACGAGCATAGCGGGAGCCTCCCCTTTCTGGTCGGCGCCAGCCTGCCGTGCCTGGCTCTGGAGCACTGGCCTCGGGGAAATGCAGATGTCACCAGCCTGTTTGTAACTCCAGAACGTTCCCCTGAAGTCAGCCCAGGCCAGCGGGATTTCCTGACCAATCTGGGATAGCTGAACTCTTGGGCATGTGAGAACCCTGGTGAGAAAATCTTACCCACTTTCTCTTCATGATCTACTCCCTGGCCTCCTTAACGAGCAGAAAGGGGAGTCAGGACTTGGGGAGGTTTGACTGGGAGCCAGGCACCTGGGGGCTGGACCCAGCTGCCCTGGCTTCTCTCTGGCCTCAGGTGGCCCTCACCTGTAACCTGGGGGCGGGGGAGGGGGTTGGGGGTAAGAGAAAGGCTCTCATGCTCCCTTCCAGGTCTATTCCCGTGCCCAGTGCCTGCCCTGGAAATGCAGTCACTGGCCTCTTAATCTCGAGGAATGAAAAGGCAGACAATGATAACGGCGACACCCTGTGGTTGTACATCCTTGGTGATTTGCTGGAGACTTTGCAGGATGCACAGCCCTCAGGTCCCTACAGCCGGCGGGAAAGCCGGGGTGAGGACCCAGGGCAGCCCCTCCTGTGGCTGCGGCGCTGTGAGGTCACCCTGCACGCCGGTGCCCGGGCGAAGCCCTTGAGTCCTCACCTCATTTCCTGAGGGAGCCCCTGTTGGGGGATCTCACCTCGTTGCTTCACAAAGTCCCTGACAGCTCACAGGAGGCTGGTGGTTTCGCCTCAGCCCACTCCTCCCTGGAATTGAGTTCTCACCATCCTGTCCCGGTTGTGTGCCCATCCCCAGGCCCCCGGGCCCTAAGCCGGACCCTGGCTCCCTGGCCGGGCGTCCTCAGGAGTCCTGTTCTCCCTCATGAAACTGAGGTGGAAGGGGAGTTTCCGGAGTGGGGTTTTGACTGTGGAAAGTATAACTATGAGTTATTAGTTGACCGTTTTAATGAAGCATTTCACATGATATCTGATTTCAACTGTGGGCCTGAGTGGGGAGGAGAGGGGCTTCTCACTCATTTTCCCCAGAAGGCCCTGTTGAAATGGGGGTTCCTTGGGGGGCTTCCCCCTGTAGCCTCTGTCAAAGTTGAGTGTAGCTCAGCTGACAGGTGCGTGGACAGCAGGGCCATGGGGAGCCTGCCAGGCGAGCTCCGTGGGGTGGGAAGAGCCTGAGAGTGTCCAGGACAGTGGTTCTCAGCCCTCACTGTTCATCCAAATCCCAGAGACCTGGGATCTGCCCCAGAGATGTGACTCCATAGGTGGGGGGTGAGGGGTCACCCAGGCAGGGGTGCTTTGTCATCAGAGCCCCCTTGGAGAGTCTAACGTGTAGGAGGGTTGCGAGTCCTGCCCAGGCGGTGACGGGGCAGTGGGGGGCATCCTGAGAGCTGGGCTACGCGGAGCCATCAAGCACTGGCTAGGGTGTGTCAGGACCCCTCCTCAAGGCTGGGGTCACAGGTTTTTATCACTCAAAAATTTTTATTTTTATTGATTTGAGAGAGAAAGAAAGACATTGATTTGTTCTTTTTTTTTTAATATATTGATTTTTTACAAAGGGCAAGAAGAGGGATAGAGAGTTAGAAACATCAATGAGAGAGAATCATCAATCAGCTACCTCTTGCACACCCCCACTGGGGATGTGCCCGCAACCAAGGTACATGCCCTTCACCGGAATCGAACCCGGGACCTTTCAGTCTGTAGGTCGACGCTCTATCCACTGAGCCAAACCGGTTTCGGCTGATTTGTTGTTCTTATGCATGCATTCACTGGCTGCTTCTTGAACCCACAACCATGACCTGTCGGGGCCAGGCTCTAACCAACTGAGCTACCCGGCCAGGACTCGGAGCAGACTCCTCAGTCAGGTGTCCATCAGAATCTGAAAGCTCTCTAGCCTCCACCTGGACATGTCCAGACCGGGCTCCAAACCCGGATTGGTTCCTCCGAGGACCCTGGGGCTTCCCTGTCCCGGCACCACACGCAGGAGAGCAGCAGAGCGGAACATCCCCGAAGCCAAACACCTGAAGGCAGGCAGGAGCCAGGGCCTTCGGGCGCAGGAGGGCTGGGCCGGCCTTGTTGGGAGCTCATTACATCTGTGTGGAGCCACTACCCAGAGTCTAACAACCACGTGTGCTGCCTCTTTTCCAAAGGGATTGTGTCGAGTGCTTGTTGCTTCACTCAGGGAGCCCAGCTGACAACCAGACCTGCCAAAACCTGTGCAAGGACGAGGTGGTCACATGGGTGGACGCCATCGGTGAGTGGGTGGGCAGCCTGCGCAGCTGCCCGCTCTGGGGTCGTTGGACACACGAGACCTTCTCCCCGTGGGATGATCTCCAGGGCTGCTTGCCGGGAGGAGGGTGGTTTCAGCCCCGAGTTAGGAAGCACGGCCTCCGTGTCCTTGGCATGACTGCTGCTCCCCCCAAAAGGACTTGGGGAACCCGAGCTGGGGTCTAGGCTCCAGACTCTCTCTAGAGTAGAAAACCTCCCTGTTCATAGGTCTGTCCCATCCCTGGAACCCAGTCTCCACCCAGGCCCCCTGAGAAGTTAGTATACTGGAATAAGCGATGTCAGCGGCTGTAACAAACAAACCTCAAACCTCAACAGCTCAACAGAATCTAGGTCAGTTTGTCACTCTCTGAAAGCCCAGAGGAGATGCTCCTGGCTGACAAGCCTTCCCTGTGGTCACTCAGGAATCCAGGCACTCTTTCTGCCCGGGTTCCTCCCTCCTCAGGGTCCTCAGAAGCCTCTTCACGTAGGTGGCCCATGGGGAAAGCAGAGGGAAGGGTCACGTGGGAGTGGATATGGGCTGGGCCTAGAAGTGGTGCACACAACTTCCATCCCCATTTACCTGCACACAAGTCCCGTTTACCTGCAAGGGAGGCTGGGAAATGCAGTCAGCTGTGAGCCCAGGGAACGGAGTCTGCTCTCGGCGAGCAGTCTCTGCCCCATTGGCCTCTGCCCAGCGCAGCTCTCACGATGCTGCAGGTGGAGAGGACAGGACTCTCATCGGTCCGACTGGACCCGGGAGCGAGGGCTGCCCTGGCTCTTCTCCCATCTCTGCGCCTCTTGCCCATTCCGTGTCCTGTTGCCTTGCCCGGCGGCTTACATTTTAAGGCTCTTCTCACTCTAGCCTCTCCAGTTTGACACCGTCCCTCCATCTCTCTGCCTTTCCCTCTGGGCAAAGGGCTGAAGTCCGTTGCTGACTGGGAGCCCACAGAAGGCACAGACAGAGGGACACAGGTGTTTGCTTCTTACCATCTTGGGGCTGCATCCATATCTATTCTGGTTCAGCCATTGCAGTGCAGCCTGAGGAGTTCTAAGGGTAAGAGGTGCAAAGCACATATCAGCCCTGTAAGCATGGAACTGTTTGGAACCATTCTGGAACATTCTGTTTACTACATCCAGTCAAAGCGACCCTCTGCTGGAACCCTTCGACCCTGCTGGTGGCAATACAAATGATGCAGCCACTTTGGAAATAATTTAGCAGTTCCCCCGAAATTAAACAGAGTCACCATATGATCTATCAATTCTGCCTCCAGGCATATACACAAGAGGATTGAAAACATAGCTTAACACAAAATCTTGTGCCTGAATGTTCATGGCAGCATTATCCATGATAGTCAGAAATTGGAAACAGCCCAAATGTACATGAACTAAGGAATGGAAAATAAGATGTGGTGCATCATATAAGGAATATCATTCCGCCATAAAAAGGAACGGAGTGTCAGTACACGCTACAGCATGGGTGAACCTTGAAAATACTATGCAAAGCCAGGCAGCAAAGAACCTAGGTTATAGGATTCCAGTCACATGACAGGCCCCAAATAGACAAAAGTAGAGCAACGGGGGGAGTAGACTAGCAGTTGCCAGGGATGGAGTAAAGAGGGGGGAAGGGATTGGGGCTGACTGCTCACACATAAGGGCTTTCTCTCTGAGTGACGGAAACATTCTGAAATTAGACGTAGGGAGGTCACACACGTTGTGAATATTACAAAACGACTGAGCTATACACTTTAAAAATGGTTAAAAGGTGGGAAGACTGTGCACCTTGGAAGGGACCCTGCGTCTGAGGACCCCTGGCCAGCAGCCTTGCCCTCTATGTAACCTCAGCTGCTGCGGACTCACTGCCCGGATCCCTGTCGGCCTGGCCCTGTCTTGTCTTCTCTGTGGACTTCCTGCTCCTGCCTCTCTGACCCTGACGGACACCTCTGGCCAGATCATGGCTCCTGAGTATGCTGAGTCATGTATGCAGCCAGCATTCACTGAGCACTGACTGTATGCCAGGGCTTGTGCTAAACCCCAGGGGCAGTGGGAGCTTAGGGTCCCATCTTTCATGCCCATTTTTCTGCCCCCATTTCTGTCTTGAAACTTACGGCAGAGCAGCAGGTTCTGCCTGCAGATCTGGGGCTGTTGCACCCTAACTAGATGCACGCAGTTGGAAAAGGTGAGACGGTGCCCGCTGCTGGCCACTAACTGGTTCCCATGGCACCATGCACCAATCCCCCACAGCTGCCTCCTGGTCTGCCCCTGGGAGAGGAAGCTGTCTCTTCTTAGAGCAGGTTTCTGTTTGAGCCCACTCTTTACCCTGTCCCATCGTCCTCCCTGGCTTTTTTCATACACACACCACACACACACACACTCATTCACACTCATGCAGACCAGGCGATGATGGGGTCGGAGGGGAAAGGTCCAGGCCTCGTGCTTGAAAACCGTACTGCTATATCTGTTCCAGGCTGAAAGTCCTTTGCTCAGCAGGGTTACACAGGCCGGAGCCGAAGAGTATTTCACGTAACAGGAGCCTGCACCGTCATTCAGGCCGACCACCCCTTCCTGTCACTCCCCTCCCGATAGCTCACACTCACACAATCCTTTTCCCGCCTCACCTTCCCTTCTGAGAAAACCCTGGGGTTTATGCCCATAAGGTTGGGGACTGCGACACCTTCGCCTTGGGAAGCAGCGGGCACAGGGAGGGGTGAGGCAGCTTGAGGAAGGCCATCCTTGGGTACCAGTCGTTATCCCGATGTCCTCATCGCCTTGTGGTCTTTTGGGTTTTACATCCCAAGAGAGAGCTCTGAGGCTTGGCCTCCAGCCAGCGCCCAGCCTGTGGACCACAGTGAACGCTCCCTCGGGCCTCGAGGGTATCAGAGGGTTCTCTTTCTCTGTCCCTTCAACGTCCACAGCCAATTCCACGGACCAGTCCTGCCCCAGCATCCATGCCCCCTTCCGTTCCCCTCCGCCCCAGCAAGCACTTCGGAGGCTGAAGATCCTCTTGTTTTCCACAGGGATCCTTGCCTCTAAGGGAATTCATGTCCCCACAGCAAACTAAACTCAGCGCCTGGGCCTGCCTTCTTGATGGGAGAAACCTGAGCTCGCTCGCTCTCTCTCTCTCTCTCTCTCTCTTTTTTTTTTTTTTTTTTTTAAAGGGACGTAACATGAGCTTATGACCCGCACTTACTGGGAATGCCTCATCCATAGGGAATCATTGCAATCCCTGAGCCTCATCCCGAAAGGGGTTCAATGGCTTACCCGCATCGTGGCATGGGATGGGCACACGCTGAGTCAGTCATTGTAGTTCGTGCAGCCCTAGTCCCTCTGAGAAGCTGGGGGATCTGCTTGGGGATCGGCTGAGCCCGCTTTTAAAGGCCCAGCCTCCCTTTAAGCCTGTCTGTGCCCCTGTCTTCCACGAAGTGGTAGGCTCCTCGCCCGTCGGTCGGTGGTCGGTGGCTCTGGCTTGCTCGGAGACACTCAGGACGTTCCTGCCTGGCTTCCTTCCAGGGAAAGATGACCAGGAGGCCGTGCTTTGCTTCTACAAAACCGCCCAGGACTGTGTCATGCTGTTCACCTACACAGAGCTGCCCAGCGGCAAGTCCAACCTGACGGTCCTCCGGGAGCCAGGTGAGGGTTCATTCGGACACACCCTCCCCCCCCTGCTCCAGGCACGTCACCCGCTGCTCCTCCTCTCCCTCTCCACACTCCAGAGAGAGGAGGCTAACAGTCCTTAGAAAGACCAGACTCCAAGGCCACGCCTGCCTGACTCCTAGGGTTTAGAATAGGGGTGTCGAACTCAATCAGAGAAGGGGCCAAAATCTAAAATCCAGCCTAAATCGCGGGCCGAATGGTTTACTGAACAGTCATAAACTGTCATTGTGATGGAAACGCAGCGGAGTGCAGTGATGACAGCGCGGTGCGGGCCACATTGCAAGGCCTGGCGGGACGGATTTGGCCCGCGGGCCTTGTGTTTGACACATGTGGTTTAGAAGGAAGATGATAGCATCCCTGCGACCCATTGCTGGGGGGTAGTGTGGAGGGCATGGGTGTTAGAGGGTGGGAGTGTCCCGCCTTGGAGGAGAGCGGAAGCCCGGGACACACTACACCCGCAGGGCCGAGCGTCCGTGGTGGGGGCTCCCGGCTCTGCAGGGAGCTCAGGTCTCTGGACGATGAGGGCTGAGCAGGCCAGCGCAGTGCTGGGAGCATCTGGGGAGGCTCAGCCCTGGCCGGGCCACTGCACTTCCCAGCCTGGAGTCCGGGGGCAGAGGGAGGCTGGGTTAAACATTCCTGTGGGCTGCCGGGCAGCTGGGCCTCGGGGCCGCGGGGGAGGCTCAGCTCTAATCCAAACAGATGCCTTCGGAGTCATTGGGATTCTAGTGTGACCCCTTTTGTTCTTCTCTGGAGGGGCGGAGGGAGCAGAAGAAGATGCGCTCTCTTTAACTCACAGCATCGCACACTGTTTTTCCACGCTGGGCCAGACCGCCCCGGCGAGTGGTGGCGGCCCCGATGCGTGCCTGTGAGCACGAGGCTGCTTCCAAGCGCTGCCGCTGCGGTTCTGTGAAAATAAGCACATCTGCTCCGGAGGGCACCGCGCTGAGGGCTGACGAACGTCGGCTGGCCCCGGCCCAGCCCTGGTGGAAGTGGCTCACGAAAGCCCCGCCTGCCCAGGCCGCCCCTGAAACCGCTGACAGGCAGCGGAGGCATGGCCCGGCGCCCTGCACGGGGCCTGGGCCAGGCGGGAGTGGGCCGGGCACGTGGGAGGATGTGGAGCAGCCCCCCGGGGGTCTCACCTGGACTTTGCCAGAGGCTTGCTGCGCAGCCCCTCTCTCACCGAATGGGCATCAAAGAAACCTGCCTGCCCACCCACATCGCCCAGGGCAGCACAAGGCTCTTAGGATGAGGGAGGGGTGAGGGAGAGACGGGTATCTTTCATTTAAATTCCCTGAGGCTGGGGGGATGGGGCGGAGGGGCACACCATGGGGGTGCCTGTGCTCACCGTGCCTCCTGGTCCCCCCCCCCAGAGTGTGGCACGGCCCCCAACGTCACGACCATCCTCCTGGCCGTGGTCGGCAGCATCCTCCTGATCGGGTTCGTGCTCCTGGGCATCTGGAAGCTGCTTGTCACCATCCACGACCGCAGAGAGTTTGCCAAGTTCCAGAGCGAGCGGTCCAGGGCCCGCTATGAAATGGTGAGCCGCTGGGATGTGGGAGAGGGGCGGGGCGGGGGGGGGAGATGCCAAGCGTAGGGGTCTGGTTACGTTCAAGCAAGTGGTAAAGGCCCGCTAACATCTAAGGCGTCCAAAGCAGAGAACCAAACCTACACGGTGTGCGCCCAGAGAGAAGGGCGTGGCACAGGAGCACAGAGGCCTCGGGACCAAGTCGGGAGACTCGGGGGAGGCGGGGAGGGCAGAGGTGCTCACGGGGCCTCCCCAGAAATTGTCCGGAGGGTCGTAGGGAGATGACAGACCCAAGGTCTGTATCTCAGGATCCATCTGCATCAGTCTTGGTCTCCACGGCAAACTGCATGTTCCCAAAGGACCAAGCAGAGTGAGGGGGTTCCTCGCCTGAACCCCCAGCTAGTTTCTGTTCAGGAGGGAGCTTCAGAGGCCATCTCCCAGTATGTAGATGGGAACGCGTCCACTAACACGTGTCTCCCTGCCTTCCGTGTCCCGCAGGCTTCAAACCCTCTGTACAGAAAGCCCATCTCCACGCACGCCGTGGACTTCACCTTCAACAAACTCAACAGATCCTACAACGGCACCGTGGACTGACGGCTCCGCCTCCTCCGAGGCCGGGAGGGGTGCTGCTGGAGTCAGCGGCCGACACGCTTGGGGCGGCTGCTGGGCGCAGTCTCGGCTCCTAGATAGACACGCAGAGACTTAGCAGAGAGCCTGGGAGAGGTGCCGTTGCTGGTGCAGGAAGGCTCCCGGCCCGCGGTGCCGCAGGCCACTGGGCCAGAGCCACGCCCGGCGCCACCCTCCGCACCCGGGAAGGACCTGGGGAGCATGGCGGGCGCTCCTGGCCTTCCCCGCCACATCCCGCTGCAGTCTGGCCCGAGCGGAAGGCACCTGGCAGGGTGGTTGGAGCGCGTTACCTCGGCGGATGGCCTGGCTTTTCTTGTGTTGATCATTTTTATATGAAATAAAATGGTCATGCATTTATGGCGTTGTTGTGATTCCTGAGGGTCATCCGCCTGGTGTCTGTGCACCTGGGTGTTGGTGACGGAGTGATGGAGACGCCTGCGGAAGGCACCGAGTTTGCAAATGTTGGCTTTCCTCTTCTGTCTGTGATTGTTTAGTATTTCTGTAATGGAAAGGAAGGAGATTGCTTGGGATTGAAAGCAAAGATTAAAACCAATGTGTTTTGTGTTTGCCTGCCGCTCTCTGCAATGCGTGTGCATGTCCCTTCCCGAGGTGACCTGGAATGGCGCCTCCATGGGGACCGAGATGGCCGCACACTTCCTCTAGGGCCTCACAGGCCAGCCCAGCGCTCCAGACTGGCCTCTGCACATACAGCAGCCGGGGCGGGGTCTGAGGGGCAGCTGGGGGCCCCAGCAGGGCTGAGCTGGTACTCGAGGGCCTTCCCCGGTTTTGCTTAAAAAAAGAGTGTAGGCTAGAAAATGTGAAGACCTCCCCTCTGACTCCCTTCCCCAGTTTCCAGACACTGAGACCAGAAATAGGTTGAAGAAGGGGGCAAGATGTGGTTTCCAGAGAAAAATCACGTCTTACTGATTGTTCTCAAGAAAATTATGTCAGTGCCTTCCTCACCAAACTCCTACATCCCAACCAGGCCCAAAACACAAAACCCATTAGGTCCCCATAGCCCCACAAGTTGTTTGACCATTTATAGAAGAGGAAACTGATGGGCAGAGGGGGAGGTGGCCTGTCCAGGTGTCGGGAGGCTAGCTCGTGGCAGACGGGTACTGAAGAGCAAGGTCTGCACCAGAGTGCAGCCTCCTGCGACCTGCTCTCGTTTGTAAAATCTCTCTAATCATTTTTTACTGTTGGCATTACTTCAAGGTTATTGGGCTTTCATTCCAAAAAATTCATCTGTTTTCAGCCTGGGCCCAGATTCCGCCTTAGTTTTGGCAAACAGGGAGACCAGGCTTGTCAGTAAACAGGGCCTATACCCTGGACAGATGTGCACAGACTCTGTTTCCTTTGTCCTGTGCCATTGGGAGACCCCGTGACTTGGTGAAGCTGCCTCCAATCCTTTTTGAAAAAAAGCCAAATGATGCCGAGACCGGTTTGGCTCAGTCATCGGCTTGAGGACTGAAGGGTCCCGGGTTTGATTCCGGTCAAGGGTATGTACCTTGGTTGCGGGCATATTCCCAGTAGAGGGTGTGCAAGAGGCAGCTGATTGATGACTCTCTCATCGATGTTTCTAACTCTCTATCTCTCTCCCCTCCTCTCTGTACAAAACCAATAAAATATATTAAAAAAAAAAAAAAAAAAAAAGCCAAATGAAAGTAAATATATAACTAGAGGCCCGGTGCACAAAATTCATTCGCGGGAGGTGGGGGGGGGGGTGTCCCTCGGCCCTGCCTGTGCCCTCTCACAGTCCCGGAGCTCTCAGGGGATGTCTGACTGCCACGGAGTTGGGAGAGACTCCTGCCACCACTGCTGCACTTGCCAGCCATGAGCCCGGCTCCTGGCTGAGCACACTGACCACCAGGGGCAGCTCCTGCCTTGAGCATCTACCCCCGATGGTCAGTGTTCATCATAGCAACCATTCTTTCAGCTGTTCAGTCGATTTGCATATTAGTCTTTTATTATATAGGATAGGATAGGTAAACGGTGGCTTCGAGACTTTCTAAATTAAAAAAAAAAAAAAAAAAAAAAAGCACGCCTGGATTTGGAAAGAAACGTTGGGTTTCTCTTCCATTTAATTGTGGGGTTCCTGTAGACAAGTCGTGAACTTGTTCGAAATGTCACTTTCTTTTGGGTGCGGCATTCTTGAGAGCTGGCAGCAAAGGATGATTTGCTGGGGCTTCACGTTAGGGCTGTTTCATCTGTGACACCAGATGGCGGGTGATAGAACCAGCTGCTCACAGTGCCCTGCTGCCCCCTGCTGGAAGCTCTTGGGACCAGCTGTTCAGAGACCTGATTCTGACCCAGTATTGTATGTGATTTCTTTATTCCTTTCCTTAGGGGATTTGGCTATGTCCCTTTTCCCTTTCCTTCTCCCTCTCCCCAGTTAACATAAATAATGGAGCAGGAGCTGAAGGTGGGCTGGAAAGCTCTCAAACCAAGGGCTGTGGAGGCACAGGGGGGATGAGCCTTCTCATGCAGCGGAATCGCCACGTGTGGCTGCCGTGCTCTGCAAGGAGCCCCCGGCAGTCCGGAAAGTTCTTTCCTGGTGTCTGTCTGGAAAGACAATTGGAGCTTGGCTGTTTGTTGAAAAGAAGGGGGTGCTCTTTACCTTGGTAATTAATCTATGTTGATACACAGATTTCCAAATAGTACCTATTACTTTTATTGGTTTTAAACTTTTTAATTGCCAAAGTAAGACATGGAAAATAGGTTATAAAAAAGTAAAGAAGTCTTTTGTCATCATTCTACGTAGAAGTAACTGTCCTTGATCTTTCTGTGTATGCCTTCTCAGTCTTTTTTTTTTCTACATATACATACACAACTTGAAGCAAATTAGGACTATAGTGTCATTCTCATTACGAGGACCGGGGACTCTCAGCTTGGTTGATTAGTACTAAGTCAGACTCGAGTAACAGCCGCCTCTTCTGGGAAGGCAAGTTGGATTCTGCTTAATTAGGACCCAAGCTTGAGGTTATCAAGAAACTCTTGGGATGAATTCCAGGTGACAGCAAGCAGATGGGGAGATCAGAGCAGAGGTGTCACGCTCTGTTCCAGTCCTTTTAACCAAACAGCTGCACCCGCTGTGGGGAGCTTTCGGCTGCGGCTCCTGCTTCTGAGGAAGGGCCAGAGGCGCGGCCCAGCAGGGCTCTGTGACTGCCCAGGAGGAGGACGGTGGCAGCAGCTTGGATGGAACTTGGGAGGAGGTAAGTGTTAGGTCTGATCAAATAATTGCATCAATACCCTCTCCCCTGGGAACTGACCTCTAGGCCACGTCACAGTGGACACTCCACTTGCTTAGACCACATTCCACCTGCTAAGACCACTATCTCTCCCCTCTGGGCTTTCCTAGAATCCCGACCAGCGCAGAGAATTCTTCGCCCAGAAAAAGCCTGCCTAGAGTCTTTTAAAAACCCCTAATTTCCCATCTCTGGGGCAGCTGGTGCCATTTGGGGCTCAGCCCACCTGGTATCCACATGACCTAATACATTTATAATTCTTGACTCCTTTTGGCCTCATGCATTCCTCCTCCGGTGACCCTAACATTTGGTGCCGAAACCCGGGAGGGTTCCACGGGGATGGGGAGCCATCACCCCTGCTTTGGTCACCCTGAGTTTGCTACTGGGAGAGCAGTGGCAGCAGCAGCTTGACCTGGGCTTACCTCTGAGTCCTACCCAGGTGACATGATTGCTGGCCTTCATTAGGCTTCCCTCCCTCACAGACCCTCCTGAACCAGCCGAAGAGGACACCGGATCGGGACTCTCTCCTCCACTGCTGACCATCCATCCCACACTGGCCAGTCTTCTCTAGGTGAGTGATGTTGTAACAAGTTCCTTTGTCATGAGTCTTCTGCCCACTCTCTCTCTCTCGCTGACTTCTCAAAGTCTCTCATTTCAAAAGCCCTAGCACTAGGCCAGTAGACTCTTCAGCTGTTTGGTTTGGGACCTTGTGGATTAGGGACGCCCAGCCCAGAGGGTCACCTCTCATTTCTCACGGTGATTTGTGTAGCAGCAGAGATGCCTGCCCTGAACAGTCACCTTTGGATTTGTGCTCTGTCACTCACCGTTCCACTCCCGTGGGCCACACCACACTCCTTCTGCACACTCATGGGGGAGATCAGGCCATCCACCTCATTTTGTAACACTGTTTGGCCACAACATAAACTAAATAATAAGTCTCAATGGCCTAAAAACGGCACTTTCAATTTTAACACACTGCACAATTTAGATCATCGCTGTCGCTGCAATGGAAGAGGTCAGGGATTCCCTACGTCCAGCCCCTTTTCACCTTCAGTCCCAACCCTCTCTCTCAGTCCTGCTCTACCCATCAGGTCTTTTTCCTTCACACAAAACATCTTACCCCAACACTTCTGATTCTGAATCTACTTTTGACCCAGCAGACCACCGACCGCCACCTCCTTACATGCCCCCTTCCTCACCTGCAGTAGACTCCCCAAGCCCAGACCCTCCTAACCAGCTACCACCTTCTCTCTGGCCCCTCAGAGCCCACATCACAAGAACACAAGCTCCAAAACAGCCTTTTCCCATCAATACTTGCTCTCAGGCCACCCAAAGACCGCCCTCCTCAACTGCCTCTTCTATTCCCGTGCCCAGTCTATCCCGGAGGGAGGCAGCAGGAACTGAGGGCTCCGTGGTCAACTATGACAAAGTTAGCGGAATCACTCAAGGCCCTGACGAAAACCCAGCTCTCTGCCTCTTCCGCCTCACAGAGGTCTTGCAGAAATTTACCATCTTAGACCCCACCCCCAGAGGGAACCCTTCTTCTGAACACCCATACTATATCCCAATCAGCCCCCGACACACACCATAAACTTTGGGAAATAGGCCCAGGTCCACAAACCCCTCAATATGATCTCGTTAACCTGACCTTTAAGGTCTTGAATAATTGAGACAAAGAGACCCAAAACCAAAAACAAAGGTGAGATCAGGCCAAGGCTGAGGCCCAGAAGGAAGCATTCTGGCTCTCAGCCACCGCTCTCACGAACCCCAAACGAAGTGCCGGTCCTCCGACCAAGAGTAAAGTCAGGGTCTAAGCCTCCTCCGGGCCCGTGCTTCAAATACAACAAGAGAGGACACTGGACCAAGTCTGCTCAAACCAAGACCCCCGCCTGGGCCCTGCCCACGGCGCGGAAGGAGGCCCCAGCAAGGCCTCCACCCTCTGGTTCTGGTTTGGAGCTCCCAGACCTCCTGGGACCGGCCTCTAAGACTGAAGCTTCCCAGGCCCCAAGAAAATCCCACAGACTTACATCACCAGGACAGAGCCCCAGGGGTAATGATGCTTGGGAAATGGTGGCAGGTAACCCGAACTCCTTTTAATTGACCTGGGGCCACTTACTATGCCCTCCCCAAATTCGCTGGGACTCTTGTCCCTCCTCAGTCTCTATTAAGGGGGTTGATATATTAGTCTCAAAGCCATTAGCCACCTCACCTCTACCCTGCATCTTACTAAATACCCCATTCACCCTTTTCTCATTCTACCTCGGTGCCCAGCCAAGGCTTCCATGCATCCCCTCATAAAGCTCAGTGT